CGCCAATCGTAAAAATGTATCCAGTTTGAGATCTTGCTTTATGGGGATCTGAGAGATCCTGCATCTGCAAAACCGATTATTTCATGTTTTTTATCGTTAGAGTAAAACAGTCCCAAATCGATTGTCCCTTGGAGATAGCGGAATATATGCTTAATCCCATTCCAATGCCTCATTGTAGGTGCCGAGTTATATCTCGCCAACAAGTTGGTAGCAAAAGATATATCTAGTCTGGTGCAATTTGCAAGATACATAAGAGCCCCTATTGCACTCATATATGGTATTTCAGGACCAAGTATTTCTTCATCTTCATCACAAGGTCGAAATGGATCCTTTTCGACATCTAATGTTCGATTGACCATTGGGGCACTAAGTGGATTAGCCTTGTCCATATTGAATCGTTTCAGAATTCTTTTAGTGTAATTAGATTGATGGACACATATCCCATTTTGGACCCGTTCTATTTGCAAGCCGAGACAATATTTGGTCTGCCCGAGGTCTTTCATTTCAAACTCGCCTTTTAGTAAAGTGACTGCTTCTTGAATTTCATTTGTAGTCCCAATAATATTAAGATCATCGACATAGACAGCAATTATCACAACTCCATCTTGTGATCTTTTTATAAAAACACACGGGCATATTTGATTATTTATGTATCCCCGTTTCAGTAATTGTTCACTCAAACAATTATACCACATACGCCCGGATTGTTTCAAGCCATACAATGATCTTTGCAGTTTTATCGCACAGAACTCTTTAGGTTTGGACTTTAGCGCCTCGGGTATTCTAATTCCTTCTGGAATTTTCATATAAATGTCAGCGTCTAGCGACCCATATAAGTAAGCAGTCACAACGTCCATAAGACGCATCTCAAGATTTTCATGGATGGCCAAACTAATCAAGTATCTGAAAGTAATTGCATCCATAACAGGGGAATATGTTTCATCATAATCAATCCCAGGCCTCTGGGAGAATCCCTGTGCTAAAAGGCGAGCTTTATATCTTGTGACTTCATTTTTCTCATTTCTTTTTATGACAAAAACCCACCTGTACCCAATAGGTTTTATGTCTTTGGGTATAATGGTTATAGGTCCAAAAACCTTTCGTTTATTAAGCGAATTTAACTCGGCTTGAATAGCGTTTTTCCACTTTTCCCAATCATGTCTTTTCTGACATTCAATTATAGATTTTGGTTCAGGATCCTCAACTTCTTTATCAATTTATTGTGATACCATATATGTGAATGCATCATCAATGATCTCATCACGCTTCCAAAGTTTTCCATTATTTACATAATTGATGGAGATTTCAATATTTTCATTTCGTTCCGAAATTTT